GCTCTGAGGCCTTTATTTCACCAAACAAACAGGCAGCATATGTCCAAGTGTATCTTGATTAATCAGTATGGACTTGATAAGACATTTTAAAAACAATGGAGTGAGATGAATTTGGTTCTATCACAATGAAGCATTTTTCACTGACCACTGAATTTTAGAACATGGAAGGCAAGATGGTCTGATATTTGAGAAGAAAAGGCTAAGTTTGGAGGCTCCCTGTGGGGTGAACCTCATTGATCTGCATTGATTTGTTTTGTCCTATGCATAGAGTGACAAACTCATTGCCAGGCTACTTTACAGGCCGGGAGAAACTGTTTATTTAATCACTTAGCCTCCCATCAGCCACATTGATACTGGAATTTTTCCCCTCTCTGCTTAGGTATCTTCATACTTTCTTGGAAAATTAAGTGGAAAAGATAGTGCATCTTTCCCTTATGCCATCATTTTTACTGTACCCAATCTGACTTTAGGAGCACCAGTTTTTAAGGGTAAGTCTCTGGGAAGCACAAAGTTCCTTGACTAGGTAAGGCCCTGAGGACCTGAGTGCTCTGGGAAGAAGGGGCGGGAGAGGGGATTGGGAATGAAGAGAACCCATAGAGCAGGACAGGACATCCTGGGAGAAATTCTCTTTTACTTGTCTAGAATCTACTCACATGTGGGAAATAGGAACTGCAAACTGTTTGATTCTTTAATTTACTATAACATTACGTTTGCCAGTAATTTTAGATCTTTTATTATACAGAATATAACAACAGAAAAAGCCCAAACTGGTTAATATAGCATGTAACTTTTTTTTTTTTTTTTTGGTGGTGGTTCTGGGGTTTGAACTTGGGGCTTTGCACTTCTTAGGCAGGTGCTCTACCTCTTGAGCCAAACACCCAGCACAGCATATTAGCATTTCAAGAGCAGACTTTTTATTTTCTCAAGGTTCTTTGAGCTCTGGAGTCACACTTTCTGGCTTTGAATCCTTGCTATTTGTTAGTGCTGTGGCTTTAGATTTCTGTAAAATGCAGGTAATAGAAGTACTTATCTCATGGGGGTTGTCTCATGGAGACAGACACTTGCAAGTAAAGCATTTAGTAAATTACTTAGAGTAATGTTCACTAAATTTAGCCCCTGTTGTTTCTACTTGAAATATATGTAGTGGACTCTGTGGATGCCATGTAAGAACTAAAACTAAAAGCAAAATGTTTCTGCAAATGTAGATGCTATGGTAAAATCTACCCAACCCCTTATCTAGCAGCTTATTAATTCAAATACCTGCCCACAGAAGTTAAATGTTAGGCTGGTAGATAGGTAAGAATATTGGCTTTTCTTCCTCTCCACTACCAAGTGAGAAAAGATGGAAGTCAGTCCATAAGGCATCTGCAGCAACCCTCAATACCCCAAACCTGTCTTCATGGAATAAAGAAGAGATGAGTGCTATCCTGTCTTTCGTATCACAGTCACAAATAACTACAGTACCTGATAAACCCCTCAGAGTAAAAGCCTCTGACCCATCGATCCTCCCAACATCCCTGTAAGTCACATAGGGCTTCCCAGAAAAAGCCATTTTCCCACATTCACAGTCACTGAATGTGCAGCTGTGTACAGTCCACATGTATCATGTGCTGTTTTCAGTGCCAGGTGCTCTCATTTGCACATGTACCTTAAACTGTATGCCTTCACAGAAGATTTGAAGTACAGTAAGACTAATGGATCAGTAAACATTGAAAAGATAGTTTATTAGTCACAGTTCCCGAGAGAAAGTGCTTTACTGTGGTTTCCATGGGAAGGAACAGGCAAGGCAGGGTAAGCAGACTTAGGACTGGCTGTGTGAATAAGTTTTTCAGTGGTCTCTGGAGTGCAGGAGCTGTAATTAGTGGTCTAGTGTCTGGGCCTGGGGTGACTAGGCAAGTGGACAGTAATTCAAAGTGTGAGTCAATAAACAGGTGGTGAGGTCTTGCCTGTGGACCTCACAATCATCTTGGTTTGTATGTAGAGAATACACTGCCCACTGAGTTGTCTGCACTCTCTAGGAGTGGCTTACCCTGAGAAGGCTAGGCCCTCCAGGATTGTGAGTCCCCAGGTATCAAAACAGCAGAGCATAGGAAATAAAAGACCTAATACAACATGTTACAGCTTTAATCTCAGCCTAAGAGTTTTAAGTACTTTTGAGTCACAATTTATTAACTACATCCCAGGAGGGGCAGGTTCTTCAACCTGGGAGGATTCTGGGTCTGAGGTCCCCATAGGCCAAGCCCTCCCTCATCTCCACACCTCCACTACCAGCGTCCTACCCGAAAGCTCCCTGGATGTCCTGTAGAGTTCGTGGTATTGAACTGAATTTATTGTCTTTCTCCCCCAAAATTCTTCATCCATCTATTTCCTGTCTCAGGTAATAGCACAGCTTTGTACCGATCTGTCCAAGCTAGCAACCCGTCAGCTTCAATGCTTTCCTCTCCTCTCTTTTCCATGTATAGTCTGTCACCAAGACCTACTGTCCCAGCTTATCAGGGTGCTTGACATGAGTGAACTTGACCATGTAACTTTCTCTTCAGCCCTGTGCTTTCCTCTAGGCCTCTCATATCTGCCAAGATTCCTACAATTAAGTCTTGGTGGTCCTCCTATCCTACTTTCCAGTCAGTCCCTGCCACATCTCTCCTGATTTTAAAGCCTTGATGGCTTCTTGGTGAGTATAAGCTCAAGTTCAAAATACTGGGCATGCCTTACAAGGCCTTTCACAGTCAGATCCTAGCCACTCTTCCCTTACTGTGGAAGATCAAATGTAGTAACCCCCGGTTGCCACCCTTCTCTCCTACTCAGTGAAGATCCACTGACCCTAAGGCTGAGATTATGTGTTCTGTCCATTGGGAAGCCATCCCTAACCCTTCTAACTCTAATCAGTTATTTACTTATCTATTTATTGTTCATTTATTTATTTATTTGATAGGACTCAGAGTTTCGTGCTTGCAAAACCAGTGCTCTACTGCTTGAGCCACACCTCCAGTTCATTTTGCTCTGGTTATTTTTGCAAATGTGGTCTTGCAAACTGTTTGCCTGGGTTGGCCTTAATCCACAATCCTCCTAATCTCAGCCTCCCAAGTAGCTAGGATTACAGGCATGAGCCACCAGCTCCTGCTTAATCAGTCATTTTTTTCTATACATCTCCCTAATACTTTTTATGCACCTCCCTTTTAGGAATGATAATAGTATCATAGCTACTTTTTACCTGTGGCTTTTTCATTACATTATATTCATCACTTACTGAGTAGATATGTGTAGAGTATTTGCCCTATGATAGTCATTGTGTTAGGCTTTCAGGATTCAGAAATATCCAAGACAGAGGCTCCCTCAAGAATCTAATGGAATGAGATTCAAAGGAAGAGTGAGACCAACATGTGAGTGTCAGGTTGCAATTAAAATAACACCCACCACCATAAGTGAATGAACAGTCTTGCAAGCACCGAGAAGAAAGGACTCCACCAGGAAAAATCCGGGAAAGTTCTAGGGAATAGCGTTTGAGATGGGTCTTGAAGGATGAGGATGGGTTTGTTGAGATGGAGAAGCAGTGAAAGATAAGAGAATGTTGAGAATTTGATGACTCTTTTTTTCCCAAGATTTCAAACATGAAAAAGGTTATGAATGTGGAAAAATGTCAAAGGCAGTGAACAGTGGGGTATTCCCTAGAGGTGCCCTGAATCGGTTCCTCCATCTTACGATAGGCTCTGGGGAGCAGACAGCCAGACACAACAGTCTACGTTTCCAGAAGTTCATTAGATTCAGTGAGAAAAATATTTACTGCCACATGAACCCAAAAGTCACAGCTCCGCAGTTAACTGCCTGGTTGAGATGTGTGTTTTTACACTGTCATCCTCATTACAGTTAGATATATCATATTATCACTGGAATTTGAGACACTTTCAGAACCTTTTCTTCTGGGAGTTTACTATATTAATAGGGCTCCAAAAAGTTCTTATGGCTGAGTGCCACGGAAATGTGAAACTCCCTAGGAACCCAGATAACCAGCCTCTCTCTTCCCCATCAAGCATGCTTTGGAGTCAGGCTTGTCCTGGTTCTGCCTGGTAGCAGCTGCCTTTTCTCCAGGACCTGAATTGATAGGACTTGAGAATCAGATTATGCACTGCAGGGAAGGGTGCAATTCTGACATAGAAATAATGTGTGGACATGGCTTATTTTGGGGGGTGTTATTAATATTGTTAAGCATAAAGGAGCCCTTAGCTGGAAGTACATCTTATATAGGCTGGAAGTACATCTAAGGTGGATGCTGAATTATGTACTTGAAATCAAGCTGCATTGAGAGAAATGGGGGCAGTAGATCATAACACCATTTCCTTTCCCTTCACTGTCTTTGTGTTTTTATTAAATGTCGCTAAAACACTTTTTTAAAATCACACTGCCTGTCATTGTAGGAAAGCCAAAATAAAGGAGGGAGACATTTGACATTTTTTCCTCTGCTTTGTTTGAATTGAATGTCATTTTAATTAGCTGAGGACAGCAGTTTCTTCATTGTGCATTCACCAAACTCCAGATCTGGGTTGGCAGCCTTACTTGGAACACTTTAAGTCATTCTCTTTATGCTGGTAGACATCCATTCTCACTTTACAGTGTGTGTTTCTACTGCTGCAGAGTTATTTAGTATGTGTCCATGTGTGTTTATTGAGAGGAAGAAGATCTGTGTTTAAAGTTTGGGTTTGTTAATTAGAAATCTAGTTAAGCTAGAAAATTGCAGTGGAATAAGTAGTAATAGCCAGTCAGCATTGCTCCCTCTTTATGGTTGATTTGAGCTTAACATCACAGCAGAAATGTTGGCTAGTTCATTACTAAAGACTCATTCCTTTTGGGGCCATTAGTGGCCTGACAGCTAGTCTAGTTGTTCTAGATGTAGAATTCAGAAATTCGATTTATGTCCTCACCCTTCTTTCTTTAAATTGAGGTGGTCATTGTCCTTTACCTTTTGTCATTTCTATGTTTTCTTCTCATCCCTCCTCCCCATCCAGGAAGAACGTTGGTGAAAAGCACAGAAACCAGTGACTTTTGTGGCCGTGGAATTTCCGTGGAGAAAATAGAACATGGGAACTCACCTGGACCATCGTCTGTACCTAGCGAGCCCTCCCCACCCCCAAGTGCGTTCTGTGGTCTGGAGCGAAGCGTGTTCATGGTGCTTTCAGAGACCAATGGCGAGGTGTGGAGGGGTGGGGGAAGGTTGGGAGAGAACATGGAGCAAATATTTCACCACCTGAACCTCAGATCTGTGATTCTCCAAGGAGAGCGCTACTTGAAGAAAAGAAAAAAAAGTCGAATGGCTTCTCAGGGATTTTGTTTTCTGTGCACACATAAGCCATAGTTACAGTCCAGGTGGCAGTGTTTAGATCACTCGGATTTCAGTTCTGTTCAATGTGAAAGGGATCGACTGACGTTCATTGCTGTTCCGTAACTAGTGTAAAATATGTATATGTTTATCTTTATTTTTATAATATGCAAATACATTTAAATTTATACAGTTTGAAGCTTCTAGCATTAGTTAACACTGGGTGCAATATTTTGCATGAGAACTGTGCCAAGATGGGACTGATTTCTTATTTTAGTGTAAGACTTTTTTGTTCTTTCTTTTTTTTTTAAATCCACCTTCTCAGATTAAAAAGTAAAAAAAAAAAAAAAAAGGAGAGAGAGAGATCTCTATTTGTTAGCCCAGGGATTTTGTGTTGGTTTATAGAAATTGCCACTAATTAAAGAGATCCTTCAGCGTGCATTTCAGACCATCTCCCCTCCTGTTTTTTCATTAAAGGTCCCTGCCTGTAAGTCATCAGGCACAGTGGTGAGATTATTCCTGTCGTCTCCCCACGTTAATGCTGGGTAGAGATGGGGCACTCCTGGAGAGCAAAGAATCCATGGAAAACCCGAGTCTTTCAACAGCTTAAGATAGTGAGGAGCCAATTCAGAATCATTGGAGGGGCTCTGCTGTTATCTTTCTTTTCTAAATCAGGGTCCAAACTTTAGCAGAATGCTTTGCGTGGCCTCCACCTCTGGCTGTAAGCCTCTGGGTCATGAGCTTTCTAACTGGGGAGCGCGTCCCACATTGCTTGTGATTCATACAGAGCCTCTTGTTGGATGATCTACTGCCAAGAAATAGTCAAACCCTTGTTTTGAAATCTCCAGGAGGTAAAACTTAAAAGCAAACCCAACAAATTACTCTCTAGTCTCCTCCAAACTGGGGCCAAACAGAATCTGCTGAAGTAGTACCACATTCTCGGAAGAATGTAAAGGACTCTGTTTACGTCTGCCTCCTCAGTGTGTTGATAGAAAATGTGTAAAATGAACTGTTTCTCACCAGTGTCAGACAAGAGAAGTGAGTCAGCTGGTATTACACTTCCACTCGTTTATAAAGTATTGACTCTTGGAATGCCACCGTGCACAAAGGCTCCACATATTTTTAACAGAAATAATAATAAGCAAGCCGCACTTAGAGAATTTGCAAATCCTCTTTGTAGTATTTGTGTAGAATATTTAGTCAGTTAGCTTCACTGACTTCAGAATCCCAGAATGCTCAAATATTATTTCTTATGATCATAAAATCAAGTAGGACTAGCCTGTGTGTGTGTTTTTTAATACTTGAATAGGGTCCCTCCCATTTGAGATTTCATTTTCCTTTTAGAGCACAGTCACAGATGAATCTGGTTGATCCATTTGTCACAGTTCTCATGTGTGCGCGTGTGCGTGCGTGTGTGTGTGTGTGTGTGTGTGTGGTGTGCAAGTGTAAACTGAACATTTAATTGCTTTATGAACCATTGAATTGTCGGGCAATAAGAGTTTTTAATTGGCACCACAATTCCTATCAACTGTTAAATCAACCCAACTTTGACCAGTCTCTTGAGAAAGACTCAACTGTATGACTTTGGGCCCACTCCCCAGAGGGTCATATTAATGAAATAATGCTCTTTTGGGTGACATACCTTGCAAAGTGTTTGTATTTTCATAAACACAGATGCCCACGTTCTTATTATCTGCGACTTTTTTGACAAGTGATGTTTTGTGCTGTCATCTTAACCCTAGAGAAGCAGTGTATGAGGAAACCTTGGTGTCACGTGTGTTTTGGCCAAAGGGCTGTCATGGTGTAGAGGGTCATGTGACCACAAGAAGCTCCAGAAAAGTATAAGAACTTGCTTCAGCGTAGGGGGAGGGTTGGAGACACAGAAACCACTCCACTCTACAGGAATTCTCGCCGACTGTATAGGAAGTTCCGTTTTCTCTTTCAACACCTGGAAAGACTCAGCAAGCGACCAAGGCTGACAGGCCATTCATTCACTAAGCACAAGAGGAATTTCTTCCACCCAAGGAGTCCCAGATGCCCTCGCAGTTTGCTATGGTTTCTATTCCTGAAGCTTGTGGTATCAAAACCACTTCCTGGAATTGTAAAAGCGCTGCCAGAATAAATGTTTTTCCCCCTTCTAAGAAAAAAACAAAAACGACAGTGCCCTACTTAACACTTGTGCATTGAACTCTCCTGCGTGAATAGAGAGGAAAGGGTTTGGTGTGATTCTGGTGGAGCGTGTGCTGTTACTCTTGCCACAGTCTGTGAATTGTAACTGTGCTTTCCCAGTTTATTGTTGTGAAGGGCGGACACTTAAAAAAATAAGATTTCAATAAAAATACAAAGAAATGGTTAAGCAATGCTATTTCCAGATTTAGTTATTTCTGGGTTTGTTTTTGACTTCAGTTTTATAAGTTAAGGAGTAACTGTTTTCTATTTTCAGTTCTGAGGTTTGAAGCTACAGGAGGTGGGGTGGCAGTTCCATCTGTTTGGGGATTGAGTCCCCAAAGGGAATACTCAAGAGTCACTGCTTTAAAACTCTGTGTCTGGAACATTGGCTTTGCCTCTGGGACTGGGGACAAAACCAAGGCCTCACACAGGTTAGGCAAGGCTGTCTGGCCATGCTGTGTTGCCAGACAATGTTGGCCATGTCCCTTAAGTCACACACGTTTCCAGTGAGCCGTTGTATAAGTCAAAACTTACACATTTGGGATAGTGTCGCAAGTTCTTTTTCCCTGTCATGGGCTCTTGGCAGAACTCCTGGCATGGCTTGTAAGTGCTACCCCAGGGCCCTCAGGGGCTCTCCTCCTGGTTTTTGTTTTGTTTTGCTTTTAAAAAAAAAAAAAAAGGCCAAGAAGAAGATAGGGAGATATAGATAGAAAAACAGTGTGTCTGGGGGATGGACCAAGACCAGACAAGTCTTGTCTGAAGGCATCGAGGCCCTGGGGACCAGGGAAGAAAGGACTAGATTAACCCAGACCAAGAGGGCCTTTTTTTTTTTTCTTTTTGTGGCAGCACTGGGATTTGAACTTGGGGCTTTGCACTTGCTAGTCCAGGGCTCTACCACTTGAGCCAAACTCCCAGCTCCTTTAGCTTTAGTTATTTTTCAAGTAGGGTCTTGCATTTTTGCCCAGAGCTGCCTTCAGAGGGTGATCCTATCTACGCCTTCCAAGTGGCTAGGATTACAGTCATGTACCACTGAACCTAGTTTATTGACATGGGAATTGCACTAAATTTTTGCTCTGGATGGCCTTGAACCATTATCTCCTGATCTCCACTTCCCTGAGTAGCTGGGATTACAGGTATAAGCCTTCTTGGAAGACTCTTGGAAAGGTAAGTGTCCTGAATGCAAATGTGCCTCTGTCTGTGACAAAGCTGAAATCATTTGGCTGTCAGAATTTCCAAGAGTAATAAACAAGGTGAGCTCTGGGAGGAATGGCTCACTGTGTCCACGTTGCCAAGTTCTAATGCTCAGCAGCGCTTGAGTGCACGTCATAAATTTGAGCCTGTTTTTTTCTTTATCAAGAAACTCTGAGTTCCTTAAAGTTGCTGAGCAGCTCATGCGGAAAAGCAGGTGTCATTGGCGACAATCAGAAGTGCATTATTTATCAGACACGTTGTTCCCTCCTCCCAAGACTACATCCTCCACCTGGTCCTGAGCTTTTCGAAGTTCCCACATTTCCTGAGCTTTGAGCCCAGCATACCTGGCACATGGAAGCACTTCTGTACTGAATCCCAGTGCCCAGGGTAGCTTTGCCCATAACCGCTTTGTCCCCGGGTGGGACAGGTGGTGAGGAAGATCATCACCTGGCAGGACCTGCTATTGTGTCAGAAGAGGGGGTTTTAGAAAGTAAACAACCTTTGGAGGTTATCTGGGCTGGACTGCATGAGAAAATTCACCTGGTAACAGAACTCCACTGGAGTATTTGTAAGCTCTTTCAGGAAAAAAAAAAATGCCTTTTCACTTTTTATATACAACACTGTTTTGAATGAAATGGACATCATTTTAAACACTGAACCTAATTCGGTGTTTCCCAAACTGCTTCTTGGAACATTTGTGACTCCTGAGACCCTAACACATGCTTCCATTTCAAAGGCCTCTGAGACCCAGTGAGTTTGAAAAATGCGGGGTTAAACAAAGCCCAGAGTCCTTGCTATACGACCGTGAAAGCACTGAAGATACCATGCAAACTAGGAGTCTCCAAAAGGAGTCTGGAATGTGCAGCATTCCAACATGCTCCTGAGTGTGGAAAGAAGCCTTTCTAAGACTGGTCTGTGGATACCCCAAGACCAGGCTCTGAGAAGTGAGGATACATGCTACCCGGGGCCAGGAGTGGCAGGAGGTCCAAGTGACCTGTCACTTCACTTGCAGGTTATATAGGAAATACAGTGGTAAGAGCACTTTGTTGGAATCCTGACTCTGTCATCTACTTATCTTATGCCTCAGTTTCCTTGTGTGTAAAACAAGGGAAATTGTCTACTTCATGCAGTCAACATGAATATTAAATGAGAAGTGTGGAAAGTGCCTGTGACAGTAGGTGCTGACCACATACAGCTAATCTTATCAGATGGCATGGTTCTCTTTTTTGCAGAGAAAATGGGCCACACGCTGAGAGCCTTTCAAGGTCTTTAGCTAAAACTTTTGATAATTTTTGTTTCCATTGTATTTACTAATTGGCTATTTGTACCAGTGATCAAATGTATTAAAATGAATGGATTTAAAAAGAAATATTTATTTTGATGCTGGGGATCAAAGCCAGGGTGTGGTACATGCTAAACAAGTACTTCACCATGACACAATACACCCGGCCCTAAAAAGAAATACTTTAGTGTATATTAGGAAAAAAAAAATTATGTGCCACAGACCACAGGCCTAAGGAATTCCCCCTGTTCAGTGCAACCCACAGAGTGACCAGGTGGCTTGACTGATCTAAAGGACCTCCAAAGCTTTTACAGATACTTCTCCCCATTTTACAATTTCTGCCAGAAAAAAATTGTTGGATAGTTATAGAACAAATATAAAATTATTTCATAAATTTGAGGTTTCTTTCTGTACATCTTTAAATGTTTTTGTGCAGCCAAAGATTTTTCATATAAATATAACTGAGATTTGGGAAATTTTATTTGATTTGTAAAACATTAACATTTTTTAGGAGGCCTTTATAGGTATAATACATTTCTATGAATGTTTTACTAAGGCAAGACTCAAAAAGTGAACTCACTTGTTTCACTCAGTAGAAATAAAAACAAGAGCTCGCTAACTGATTTGGAGCACCTGGAACAGAACAAATTGCGGGGGCTTAGTTTATGCTCAGTACTTGAGAAATCGTGGC